CTCACGGCGGATTCGCGGGGAATCGGGGGCACTCTGAAGATTTAGTGGCGGGATCCGTGTATTTCCACGCGCCTCCGTCACGGGGAAAGTTCCGGTCCTGTGCGGAAACGCGCATAAAGGCGCGGAGGTGACGAGCTCTTAACAAAATTACACGTCATTTCGGCGCACGCGGTGATCTACGCGATTTTCTGTCGCGTTTTCACGCCAGGGAATTTCGGGACAGAACGACGAGTCGCAAACGATTGTACACTGAAAAAAATACTTGCAAATTCATTTTGGAGATGTGAGGTTTATTTACGCGAAATAAAGTTTATCTCAGTGAAATGAAATTTATTTCTGCGCGCAAATAAAAACTTTATATAACCCACAAATAAAATCTCTAGTTTTTTTTTCGATGGCAAAGGAGTGTGAGGTAACAAACAAAACGCGACAAAATCTCACTCTCCGTGAAGCGGAGAATGTCACAGGCGGGATCAGTCACTGCGCGGTAGGAGATCATCGATAAGATATATATATCTCTCTCTTTATGTTCAAAAGCACCGATTTTTTCGTACTCCCGCGCCAATCGACCGACGAGAGTTTCGCGGGCAGGAAGTGCACCGAATAACACGCCAGTTACAGCTCGCTGTTTCGCTCGGGCACATTGTTTGCATTATTCGCGATGTACACAATGTGGAAAATGTTGAAATAATATTTTCGTTATTGAGAGAGAGATTGCGCGCACGCATATATCACGGAAAATATCGGCTCCGCCAGTCACGAAAGAAATGTAGAATCGCGCTTTCGCGTTTCCCTCGCCGCGCATCAACAATCGATCTCATCCGGCCGAAAAAGTCTGCAGAGCTTCTCGCGCGCATGCCGCTACGTATTTTCCCACGGGTTATAGATATTAACTCGTAATATTAATTAGCGCGAAATATTAATTCTGCCTCCTGATTTCGCCAATATAATTACGGGTGTAGAAAAATATAATGCTAAGCAAAGCGATCACACCGTTTATTTTCCTGCTTTTAAATAATGATTATCTCTAATAAGCAATATTCTCTTGATATAATAATCTTAAAATATTTTCACCACAAACTTTCGAAAATTGTCACATACTGAAAAGAAGAATTATTCTCTTTACAAAGAGAAAGATTTATTCTCTTTACAAGAATATTCTAAAACTAACCTCATCGAAAACAAAGTTAGTTCGACTTTATGTAGTAAGCAAGCCGAATTTTTGTTTCAATTTTCTCTGCGTTTGTGCGGGCGATGCCAAGATTTTGCGAAAATAACGGTGGTGTCCGAGAAAAATCGCTGTCGGCCATAAAGGGACCTCTATGTCGTATCGCGGTCGATATTTAAGGCCATTGCCGAATATTGATACTATCAAGAAATGAATAAATAAGCTCGCGCCGTGGGTTCGATAAATTTCGAAACAACCGTCTGAATAGGTACTAACCCAACGTCTCTTCCTTCCAGCCCGGCTCAACCACTTTCACGTGCGCGACGAGAGCAATAAAAGGACGAAAAAAAACGCCAACATAAAAAAATAATAGCGCCAACGCGAGATCCTTCAATATTTCTAAATGGAATACGAACGAATCGAATTCTCCTTCCCTTTTTCCCCTCCCTCTTTCTCTTTAGAAAGACAAACCGAACAGCAAGTTCGTTCTGAACGACAGCAATTCTGAACGACAGCAATTCTCGCGGAGCGAAAAATTCGTTATTTACATAGGAAGTGTATTTTTTATACAAAGAAAAAATGTTTCTATAAGTAAATAACGCGCGCGCGATGTTATGGCGAAACATTCATGTTTTTTACGCGTGAGCAATAACGTTCGGCCAAAAACTTGCCTGTGAATTCTCCATGAAACCTGCGGCAGTGGTTTAATGATATCGCAAATACTGGGTTGCAAAAAGAAACGTTAGCGACGAAATCATTACCGTATTTCGCTGGCGGCGAGGTGTCTCTTGCTCGATGCGTAATGCCAAGCAAAATATGCAAAAGGGTCGTGGCGCGCGAAAGAGACAAACGGAGAGAAGAAACAAACAAAATGAGATGAGCGAGACAGAAGACGGTTATGTTTCGAGAGAAGAGAAAGAACAAGTTTAAAATGAGATATAACGCGACTATCCCTTCGACTAGCTGACATTAACGTTCAATAAAACTGGAAGAATCGTCGCAAGGCCGCTCGTAAAAATGAGAAACAGATTCATCTTCCCGAATGTTCGCCCACCTACATCCTCTTATTTAGGTAAATAAGAAAGATAAAGGCGCGAAGAGAGAAACAGCGGAGATGATACAGCTTGGAAATTCCAAAGCTACAGTGAGGCTGAGAGTATCGAAGGCAAAGAGGAACCGGCGTACAAACATTTCCAGCATCGCTGACTACGAGGAACAGCGTGCAAAAGCTTTCATCTCATCGTGCCCGGGCCGTCTTTGGGAAAGAGCGGACGCGGCGCAAAGAGATTTTCCACACACAGAGAAAGAGAAAGAGGCGAAGAAGGGGGCCGGGGGAGAAAGACGCGCACACAAACAGACATACACACATACACGCGAAGAAATGCCAACTACGCGTGATTAAGTTTATACGCGAGAAGGATCACAAGCACCTTAATCCGTGTGTCACGGGTACATGTGTCGCGACTGTGTCAGCTTCTTCTTACCTATCTCTCTTTTATGATGAAATCTCCGGCATGGTTATTATTGTTCACGAATAAATTGAATCAATCCCATTCGCGATGGACCATGAAGTCTCTCTTTCCTAATGGATCACATTAACTTATTAACTCTCTGCGCGCAACGTTGTGTCTGTAAGAGCCGATTGTTCCAACGTCTTAGTAAGCTACCTGGTAGTTAAATCATGTATCTGCCTCTATCAAATTTGAAGGAAAAACGCAGACAGACATATGATTTAACTATCAAGTAGTTTACCAAGAAGTTGGAATAATCAGGCCTGACATACGACCGTTCAGCAACTTTCGTGAAAGGCCCGGGGAAATCTCAAAATGACGCAAATCTGCTCGCAGAGCTCCCGATTTCGATTTTTATCGCGTTATCTCATAACTAAGATTTTTCTATATTCCTGAAAAAGAGGCGCCCGAAAATGTCAATTTTCAACAAAGTTTTATGGTAATTCGAAATTGTTTGAGGTGTAACAAAAACCTAGATTGTACCGCATATCCTGAAATGATTAGTTTTTCCAAACTAATTTCTAACTTCGTTTTGTAGCGAGAAATTTGACTCTCAGCATACTCCATTGCGAGCTTGACGGTTAGTTTTTCCAGATAGATTCGATGTTATTTTCCAAGCGTGTTACTAGAATCCCAATGTGGTTCGTCTAATCAGATGGATAGAATGTCAGCTGACGTCAGTCATATAATTAAACTTGGGCGACCTATTGGGATCCTACCAACACGCTTGGAAAATAACATCGAATCTATCTGGAAAAACTAATCGTCAAGCTCGCAATGGAGTATGCTGAGAGTCAAATTTCTCGCTACAAAACGAATTTAGCGGAATACATAACTCCTCGTAAAAAAACAACTTCAAACAACGCTCCATGAGTATTGGACTTCAAAATGTAATAGGAAATATAAAAAATAATAATAAATAAAATAGGAGAATAGAATAAATTAATTTCAAAAGAAATGATTTCTTGGGTTGTCACTCCAGATATGTGACATATGGGTATTTTATTAGAATTTTAAAGTTCTGCGCTTCAAAGAGTTAATCGCGAAAGTTTCGATCGCGGCTATGGCGATGGCATTAATATTCAACACTATCTGTTGCAATTATTCAACGCTGCGATATCCAATTTGCAATGCACACTGTATTGATGATACACGTAATAATGTCAGCGTTGAAACAGACCAGGATTACTCGAGTGGGCTGAATCAGACGTGACGGCGCAGTGAACGCCGAATGAACGGTTTTCTTTGATCAGGAGAATGGAAATATCGTGTTAAAGGTGTTAAAGGTAAATCTACAATTCCAGAGTGGCTCGTGCAAAGCTCGCCACGGGCGATTTGCACGGGTAAAAGCTTCGCGTCTACCCCGATCTCTCAGACCCGAAACGAGCTGGGCCTCGCGCTTCTAATCGCGCGCGGTCTGGGGTCCTCCGGTCTCAGATCCGCTATTGGTCGTCCAATTCGTTTCAGATGCTCCGCGATTCGCAACGGGATCGATGCCAACTGTTGAATATTCGATGCGCCGTGGATATCTGCGAGGATATAGCCGGGCCGGCGTTAAATAATAACGCCGCGCGTACTTTAAGCATGATCTATCGATCTATAGATAGGACTTTTTATCCCGATCTGATTCTGATTCAGAATCAGTCGCCAATCGCCCGCGACTTACACAATTACGAGTATTTTCGTGATGATTCGTATCTGCATGTCTTTACATTCCATTATGGCCGGGAATGCGCGACTGTAGACGCGAGGGATTTCAAACGCGTCTTTTTCAGGCGATTTCCATCTCTCACGGGATGTATTCTCGCAGAGAATCCGACACGTTTCGGCTTCTCTCACTTCCCCACTCGAAATTTCGACCTCAGTATTCCATTTAATGTCTACTTTGATACTCTGCCTCAATCTTGCCTGACTTTATTCAATCTCTTAGCTTTGCCAAAGTATTCTCTTTGGTGCTTCGTGCGTTTTCTGGCATTTAGAGACGCTAAATAGAACTTTAGTTTTCATGTGAATTGAATATACACTGATTCTTCAGAATATATAGTTGTTAGAAAGGTGTTGGAAAATTCAGGTCGAAAGTAAAGTTAAAATTTTGGTCGGGATTGTGTCTATCAAGAATAAAGGCGAAATTACCGTAAGACCAAATAAGATTTATATTGTTTGAAGTAAAGCTTCCAAAATGAATAGGCAACCGACTTAACTAAAAAAAAAAGAACTTTGAAATCATCCAAAGTATGTGTACTATTTCATATGTCAATAATTGATCTAAGAGGATCTTTTGAAATAAAAGAGAGAGGTACACGCGGAATAACGCGTCTCACCTTCTTCACAAAGGACGTTATCATGTTGTTGCGCAACATCTTGACGGCTGTGTTTCGACCCTGTCTATTTCTCAACGGAGGTAACGGAGGTAACGGAGAATCCCTAAGTTCCGGTTGCGCCTCTCGTCACTTCCTGTTGACCGGCAGTGGTTGCCGGCATAAAGACCGCCGTATACCAGTCGTGCCCGTTAATTCACGACCACCAACCCTTGGCTCACAACGACCCGATGACGTCTTCAAAGCCGCAGTATCTTGATTGGCGAGAGCTGGAGCCATGCGGCTCCGTCGCCTGCCGCGAGAGCATCTCCTGCGACCGTCGTCCTTCACTCTCAAAGCCGCAAGCTCTCACTGTGTCCACACGTGACTCTGAAAGCCAAACGAAACGTTTAATTACACATGCCTAATTACACGACCGTCGCGAGCGCAAAGCAAAAGTGGACCAGTTCATCAAAATAACCGCGCGGACAATGGACGAAAATTCTCGCTGATTCTCCGTTTTCGTTCATGTTCTGTTTCTGGGCGCACATATGCGAATTCCTAATGGTGCTAATCCTCTCATACGTTCTTAGACGTAGCTAGGAATAATCAGAGTTTGGGAAGAGGAGAAGGGAGTGAGGCGCGAGCTTAATTTGATAGTGGAACACCCCGAACAGATTTATCACGATTACTTCTACAACTTTGAGTTTAACATGCAATTCCCCGTAGGCTCTCTGATTTCGCCAAATGGAAAAAAGTTGGAGGGAAACTTCGAGTATCCCGCGTTTCCTCAGTCATGATAAATACTCTGATATTTCATGAAGTTCGCCGCACGTGTGCACGCTTACAACGACCCGACGAATCACTCGGACTCGTTTTTATAGATTCTCGCCGCGATAACGAGTTTAACGAAGATCGTCGGCTCATTCTTGGCGCGGTTTTCTCCTTTAAAAGTGATGTTGAAGTTTTCGGAATTCACGCTATACGCCACTTTGTAGTTTGCAAACAACGCCCGCACGTTAACCGGCCGCTTTGAGAGAAATGTTTGGCCGAACGTAACTTCGTTAGTAAGTTTAGACGCGAGCTAATATTTGTCCGCGTAAATTAATATCTGGCTTTGTTTCATGCACGCACGAGACGTCGGCCGTTGAACAAGCGCGCGTTCGCAACGTATAAATTCGCGACGATTAATCCCACTTTTTCAACGGCGAATTGGAATCGGAACTTTTCTTTCACATTAATCGTACAGATTTTGTCGGATGTGAAGGATTAATGGAGAATCTCGGTATACTGCCTAAGCATGAACAAAATAACAGTACATGGCTATTCGCAGCACTAAAATGACATTTGACATTATTTTTACATTGCTGTCTCGAGTTCAAAAACTTTTGTTTCACATTAACTCTACAAATTCAGTCGAACTTGAAAGACACTGTATAAGGTCTTTTGTCCTGTTTGTTTATGGTATACTGTCTTATCTTGATGCAATAAATAATTATTTCGTGCTTTACTTTATTTATTATATGTTGTGAATTTTATTTATTATATGTTGTAAATTTTATTTATTGTATGTTATGTCTGTGTGTAAATTATCTTTAAGAAAGACTTAAAAATTATTCAATATTCAGTTATCTCAATATTCTAACTGCATTTAATTTTTATTTCTAATTTCAATAAATATTCATTGCAGGCTGAATAGAGAATATGCAGAATATATACGATAAGCAAGTATCGACTTAATAAAGACTGATATAATTAATGCGTTTTTATCGCCCGTTGGTAGAATACATAGAACAATATATAATTTTATATCTCGAGATTCTTCATTGACTTTTCGAGTTCACGGTATTTCAATCAATGTGAAGCCAAAATTTCAGCTCGGGAACTACTGTGTCAACACACACACATACACACATACACACATGAAAGATCCTTATTATATTAGTATTTCCATTTCCAAATATTGACATGTAAGCAAAATGATAAATGAAAGTAATCCCTCTTTTCGTCTATTTTCTGCTGTTTGTCGATGGTACAACAAAAAGAATCGTACATCATCTTTTCCATTTCATGCGCCATGAAATTTCGAACGGTCTCAGTGTGTGTCGTCGCATTCACGCACGCATGCATATTAATGAGCATTGGCAACAAAATTTATAAAGCTCGTCGTTTACATAGGATATTTGATGCGACTCGCATGTCCGCTGGTACACAAGTAGAACTCATTAGAGAGTGTAAAGGCTTGTAATTTTACAAACAAATTATGATGCAAACATGTGAATTTTGAAATATTAATTAGAGAAAATTGGAGCAATTAATTGCGTGCAATGCGGTGGGGCGAGTTTTTCAGGCTCGCCCATATAGAGTCACTGAGATATTTGAATCAATGAAGATAGTCTATATTACTATAATGTGTGTATTATAATACTGTTCACCATTACGTATTGCCCATCGTTGTCACGAGATCGTCACAGTAAATTCAGACATTTTAAATGAGGTTCAAATTTGGACAAGTTTGAAAAGCTCGTCCCATCGCATTGCACGCATTCATTTATCCCAATTTCCTCCGAATAATATCTCAAAAATTGATATAGTTATTTGCAAAATGGTACAGAATCTCTTCGTTCAGTTTAATAAATTTTCTTTACACATGAATGGAGTCTGTGAATCGAATCAGACATCCTGTATATGTTCCAACATTCAATATTTTCAAACGTTTGTAAACGCGCGGTGCCGCGCGTCGGAGACCTTTAATTCTCCCGAGTATAGAGCGCGCAATGGAACCGTAATTACGAATTCCAGCTCGAAAATGTCACGGCGTCCAAAACTAATAATAATGTAGCCGCATGAATAAAACATGTTGTACCGCGGCGTGTATACAGTTCATCCTTTTACATTTATTGCACTCGGCGAGGCTTTCGCTCGTGCACGCTCGTGCCTCAGTTAATACAAAAGTATCACACAAGAAGCACAAAGTATTTCTGAAACTAGGTGCTTTCGCCGTCGACGACTCGCGCGTACTGCAATTTAAAAGCACGTCGGTGAGCGTGATCCGGCGATCCGATGAGGACTAGAAGTGTTTTCAAGTCGCGACTTTCGGGACGAACGTTCGAAATGTCTCGGGCTTTCTCTTGCGGGAATCGTACGAGAAGGCGCATCAAGGATTAAGTCTGCTTGCATTTAATCAACCCACCGACGTGCAGCGTCGCACAATATACACGCTCGCACTCGATTCCCATTAACTGCAATCTCCATGGGAGAAGATCGCCCACATGATGACCGGACGGAGCTCTTCGATTCCCCAGGGCGTAGTTGGCCCTCGACGATACCGCAAATTATACAGTCGCAAGTTCCGAAACACGCCACGCCTGTCGAAACCAATGAATTCGCACGTGGTCGAGTTTGTCAGCCGTTGAAGACTACCGTGATGGCGGTAGCATCGAGTACACGATTGAAAATCTTCCAAGTGGAAGCAATCCGAGTCCGATCGGACGGCGACATCGCGTTGGTCCCGAAATGTCGAATATTCAACAGACTTTTTGCTCGTTTGTCGATCGCACAGTCAGTTCGACAGCGTTTGACGGCGCTTTTAATTAACGCTTTCCGCAACTGCGGCTGTTCCGCAAACTCTGTCAGATTTCACCGATCGATCCCAACGCGCCGCGAATCGGTTCCTCGCGCGCACGCGAAAGCAGCAGTCGCAGTCGCGAACTTGGCGCGTTTCGGGAGCAGTGCACTTCCGTTGCATTCCGCAGATCAGGCAATTAAGCAGCCGCGCGCGAGAGATGAATTTCGGGGCTGCAACGCGGGTCTCATGGCCGCGTGAATCATAGTAATTGCGATGTAAATGGCTTCGTTAACCGTTCCGCTCGGCGGGATTAGTACGACGTGGCTGCCGCGCCACCACCACCGCCATCGTTGCCGCCGCCATCATCACCGCCGCCCGTTCTAACGTCGTTGTTACCGAAATTTGTTGTTTGCCCGGGCTTCGCGCGCGGTTAGGATTTTCATATAACGATGTTTGTCGCACAGTTTCGCTCTGGCGTGTATTATATGCGCAAAACGACGGTGAAGTGAGCGAGCAACGGAATACCACAGAAGAATATATAATTAAAAACATAAATATTAAACTCTCTCTCTCTCTCTCTCTCTCTCTCTCTCTCTTTGTTATTAAATTAAAGTATTATATCAGTGCTACTATTAGATTTGCATATTTTGTATAATATGTTTTTATTGTTATATCATGTGCAAACTACTTCTAATACTCAATATTATTTTCTCTGTATTTTTTCTAAAGGTGTTTGAGAGAATTATATCCCAGTGCAAATAAATTTTTCTCTCTCTCTCTCTCTCTCTCTCTCTCTCTCTCTCTCTTTCTGTTTGTCTATCTCTCTCGTTAATCGATTGTAGTATCCTGGGTGAAAACGTGAAAGTAAAAATATCTCTGTCGGATAATGGGGAGAAAAAGATTTGGAAAATTGTCGAAAATACACTTAATGCTTATAAAACGATATCAGTTATTGGCTCGTGCGTTTATTAAATCGTTTATGGAATCGGAATTTTCAAAGTTTTTAATAATTGAGCCACTTTTTCCCACTTGACCTTTAGCCTTTAATATCACTGATCACCGATGTACAAGCGTTTGATTATAGTCAAGTGCGTATCGACGCAGAAAGAGCGGTGAGGATAAAGTGAGGCGATTTTTGCTTGTATAACTTAAGTCATACATTTATAATCTTACGTTTTTTTTTTAATTGAATTGAAGAGTTTGAATGCTTGAAGTGTTTGATATCGAAACGTTTCTTTAACTTTTCAATAAAAAAAGTTATAAAACTCTAAACTATGATAAAAGTAATTGGAACGAAATCGTAATTAAAAATCGATTACTATATAAAAAAATGACTTAATTTGATTCTTTCCCTTTAAAAGAATTTTATGCGAATTTTTATTATTTTTACCACTTTTTTTTAACAAATAAAAATATATCCAGCGACCTAAAAACATATAATTTCATATAATTTCTTTCTAGACAAAAATCATCTTACTCATCGTACCTTAGATTGCGCCAATTTAAATCGCGCCGATTTAAATCGCGCCGCGTACTACACGAGAGCGAATCTCGGATAGAAGCAAAGCGGAGACACGATCGAGAGTATTACGCGGTAATAAGGTGATGCCAATTTCCGCGAGAAAAAGGGAGAAAGAAAAAGTGGGAGGGTGCGAAGTCGTATTAAAGAGGCCAAAGAGTGGAGGCGAATTGCGAGAAAGAGGATGCTGCGAGGCGTGGGTGGGTAAACGGGGATGCTGAAGGGAACGCGCAGGACAATGGAGATGGAATGGAATTTCAAACGCGCCGCTCTCAGGGAGTGCCGGCTAACACCCTCGCGTAT